TATTAAATTTATTACTTATTGAGAAAAATCAAAATAAATCAATTTGAAAAGATTCAGTTCGAGATGAACAAGAAGATGTCTACTTAACGCAAGTTGAAGTGAATAAAAACATTGCTTGTAGGAGGGGACTCATCGAATCGGTTGAAAAGCGACCACCGCTACTCCGTGCAACGTCATACATTTTTCCTCATTGTGCCTTTAATTATAATAGATATTTTCAAACTATGCCCCTCGTTGGATTCGTTAAGCTGCCAGCTATAATTTTTTTTAAAATTCTGATTCGTCTAAGAGCAATGGCGTTATAAACGATATTTTAAAAAGTTACATTTTGCAAAACACTGTTTAAGCGAATGGCTAACGATTATGTGTGCGTTCTTGCCGTAGGTATATGCAATGTAAAATGCGCGGAGAAAAATACTTTATATTTTCATTACCATTAGAGCTAACGACAAAAAAACGCACCGTTGTAATTAAAAATAAGAACTTTTTGAAAAATTCCATTTTTTCCTTTTTTGGGCCGTTTGGACATCGGTATCAACAGACGAATTTAGGGGGTTAATTAGTAGGCCAAACACTACAGAAAAACATTATTGTATGCTTTTTACCTTTAAAAGCTTGACGGAGGAACGAATTGGACTATCACAAAACTCTACTATTAAATGAATAACAGAGAGCGCGCTTCTTAGTTTTCCCTTCTCTCTCACCTGCAGTATCCTCTCTAAGCGCTTAACATTGGCACGCGCAGTCAATTTGTGCATGTCGATGATCGCCAGCCTGTAAAAGCGGTGTTGTGATTTACACCAACGGTAGTTTGAAAGGTCCCCTCAAACCGACGCGAAAATGAGAACGGGAGCGGGACGGACCGGACGTGTGACATATTTGTACAGCGGGATATCCAAGTATAATATGCTGAATATGCATACCAGTTGCGGGGGTTCGCATCGCATGCATACCCCGCTGTAAAAATATATCCTGCTCCCGTTCCCCATTACCGCGTCGGTTTGAGTGGATGTGGATCTCACATCTCAAGAGACATCATAAATACACATGAAAAACAAGATAAAGCAGATTAATACCTATAAAAACAGATCTTCTATCAATTTAGAGAAAACAAAACAATCAGAAAAATGACATGTAAAGAAAAAAACAGCAAGCGGGCATAGATCGGAATTTAACACAGAAATTACATGTGGAACGGTATTCACTATTCATGTTTTCTAGTTAATTTGGGCCCTCAAATTCTTCTCATACTCCTGAAACATAAGAGCTGCAGCCCACACGAGATGCAGGAGCATGCTTGATACAGCAAAGAATCGGAACTGTATGAGGTACTTCCTCCAAACCATTAACGATTAAGTACTAAAACATACAGGCCCACATCACACCAATAATATGCTTCGACGTGAATACATAAATGAATCTGCTGTGGCTAGCCGGTGGCGCAGTGGTTGCGTTCCCGACTGCTATTCGGGAGGTTGTGGGTTCGATTATCGCTTATAGAAGTTTTCTCAAACACTGTCCTTATGCGAGCTTCTTTATCCGAAACTCGCGCGAGAAATGGCAGAAAAAACTAAATTTTTATTCCGACAAAAGCGTGGACGCAGGCGACCGGCGCCGACAAGTTTTAACCTGCCTTGACTACGTTCACGCTAATTTAAAAACATTATATGATTTCCAAAGCGAGAAACGCGAGTCGACACTGGTAACCGGTAAGCGAGAAACCTGCCTCCACTCTGTTCGTACCCTAAGGTAAGTATATGACCCGTCTGATTTATGAAACACTGGGTTAGGTACCCATGTAACTTATAGAATTTTTTTAAGGGTTTCAGTACCGATTCCGGTTCTGTGACTTCAAAAATTTTCGGTTGCGGTTCCAGTTTTTTCTCGGTTTTATAAGGGTTCCAACATAAATAAATAAAAAATATATTATAACAAAAAAATAATACGCAAATGAAAGTACATTATTATTTTGCATAAATGTATTTGTTAGATTTAATTGAACATTCATTTTCAGAATTAAATTTACACCAACTGATGACCTGATGGAATCTTTACTCGTAGGTGGATCCGTGGATCACAATTTTGCGATCGTTGACTTAAGATTTGAAGCTAAATTAGTGCCTTCATTTCGCACACCTCACCCAAAATTCTCGGACTGTACCTAACTTTTTATTTTGCACCGTGTAATGAAACTTACGCCCCAACTATCCCTGACATTCAAACGCCCGATATTCTTAGGATATTGCCACAGCTACAGCTTACTTTACTTGCGTTGCCTTAAAACCTCGAGCAGTTCTTCGCGCACATTCGTGTATATTCATACAAATTACAAAAGGATTATTTCAGTTCTTTCGGTTAGGGTGTCCCTATTTTTAAATTATTTCTTAGCTTTCAACTATTAGTAAACGATTTTAACTAACTCGAACAAAAGCAGAGTGGCAATCACAGAATAACAAATAGTAGGTATAAAGTAACAAAGGGGAATGATTTTTTGAGGGGTAATAGTTATTTGTTTTACAATTCAATGGTTTTACTAACATACCTATAGCACATTTTACATCTGTGATACGCGGACTACTTTATGCCATAGAGCATTAAGTATTACCATAGATAGTAACTTATTTATACTTAATGACCAAACAAACAAATATTTGCAGGTCATTGTCACAAGATTGGCCTTATTTCGAATAGATTCTGGAACTTCTTCCTTATTCATGAAGAATTGAATTATTTAAAATTACGTTTGGATGGTTTCAATCACATTAACAACTTCGAACCACGCATATAACTTAATCAAACATAATAAATTGTTTTGAAAACGAATATTTACTTTATCGAAGAAAACTATTTATAAGACATAAAATTTTGTATGTACCACGAGCATAAACTGATGTTTATACTCTCGGGCGACTAAAAAGCTCTCGGGCCTATCGGCCCTCAAGAATATAAACATCACTTTTATGCCCTTAATACATAAATAACTATTATAATACAAGACAATAGAGGGATGTTTTAACCCATCGAGTGAAAGATATTAACTGTCACGAGATGGTTATAGTTTCCCTTTATAACAGAAAACTTTATTTTATAGCACAAGTCCTAGAAATCATTATAAAACTTCTGTAGGTATTGAATTTAGACGTCCAAAATAGCAAGCTTAGGTTATCCCGCCGTTTCCATGGAAGCAATATTGTATTCTGTTCTGAACTTCATTTTATTTCATGCACCGCGTCCTATTTTTAATAAGAATGTTATAACAATTTATTTTATCTATACTTGGCTTTGAATTGATCGCATTATCTATCCTAACTGTTAAGGGCACACTTCGCCTACTCATTCAAACCTATTAAAATGTCAATCTGCTATAAAATAATAAATATTAAGAATAAAAGGAATATTAGCGGTGCAACATAGTAATTGGTACCGCCAAAATGGCTACAGATTACTGACATAGGTAGGTACCTACCACACTGGCATTATACTCCATCTTTCAGGTATGTTGCGGGTGTTTGGTATTTGACATTGAGAAAATCTTTATTGTACAGTTCTTTCCCATTATAGAGGGTTCATCCAGTAAAACTACAATGTGTCCATTTGTTCTAAAAGTAATGGTCTACTACAACCCAAATAAAATCTCCTTGAAAGGTAGGTACTTTTTTAACATTACACATATTTTACATGTGCAAAAACTAATAGATTAATATATAATGAACAGCTTTGTTTAATCTATTTACAGGAATTGTTAAGGGGAACATTTGTACCATTGAAAGATCACAATTCATCCAAGTTTACATACTGAATTTGAGCGATAGATAACAACCTAAGGAGAGAACTAAATAACACAACACATTATATTTAAAACAAACCGAATACTAATTAATGTTTTTTGGTGAATCAGTAAGCACAATATATTTGCTATTATATAAAATTCACAGCATCAGTTGTAGTCCATTCAGTACGTAATAAAATAATTCCTAGGAAATGCAGGGCGATCATACTGTGCCGAATTGTTTTCCTTTTTACAAAGTTATATACAAACATAATGTTATAGGTATAGGCCTCCAAAAAGTCATTGGCATTTACATAGAGATATTTAAGCACCCAAACATACTTGCAGTGACTTGTTTTCATTTAAAAAATGTAGCTATTCATTTTTCATAGCTACAATATACATAATGACCTATTCAGACATGACTAGGAGAATGTTTGTTCAATATTGTAGCAATAAGTGCCCTTATAAACTACAACAGTGAGTGTTCTCTGCAGTAAAACACTAATAATTTTTATACATATTAACAGTGTTTAATACGATTTAAAGCGACATAACTTTTTTTGCTTATAACATCAAAGTAACCTATGGGGCCAGACTCGCAATCTGCACAAATAAGGTACTTATTATTACCAACAGTATTGGAAAAGCCAACATTTTCAAAAATTAACATATCAGCAACCAGCCAAAATAATGATAAATCTTCCGTGCCCACATCCTCTCCTGTTATTTGTTTCATAAAGGGTAATTGAAACTAAAAAAAGTACTTGTGAGATTGAAGAATGAAACAAGAAACTAACCTCAATTGTTGTAAAAGTCGCAGTTAGTGGTTTCAGTATTGTGGAATTGCAATATTTACACTTGATGCTTCGTATATTGAAACCATCTTGAATTTCTCCTTCATAATTCTCGCTACAATCCGGCATTTTTGTTTACGATGGTAAATAATTTAAATTAAAACAACTTTATAAAAATATAAATAAACTGTTGTCACTTGTAGTGACATGAGGATCAGATGACGGTAGTAACTACTAGTACGCCTACGGGTAACGTACGCAAGTAACGGTAGATGGCGCTGTGTTTTATGTTCGTACACAATCCGGACAATGGTCAAATACGTAATTATTAATTATGGGACCAACATAAAGAAACGTTTTTCGAAAGGTCGTAAAATTGGGTTATTCTAGAAGGTTTTTAAGTGAAATTGTGCTAATTTGAAAGTGAATTGAGTTTATCCTGCTGTTTTTGAGACTTGAAAATAACCCCTTAATCCTATCCTACCTGAAAGGCCTTTTGCTCTTAAGGCTGTTTTGAATTAGCTTGAAACCGCAATTAACTTAATTTTCTAATTACCAATGAAGATCACAATTTATGATTCAATTTCTAGCGTGCTCATACATCAACTGTACGTGGCACAGTTACACTGACCACAATTTAAACAATAGGTACATATTCTTCCGTGTGTCGTGCTTTAATAAATGACGGTTTCAAAGTTTTCTTACTATTGGTGGCATACCTAATCCCACAGACTGCACATTGTATCCTTAAATGTGAATATGCCGCTTTTAAGTTATGTTATTGTTACATTGCCTACATTACATTGATTGCAAATGAAATTGTTGTAAATGTATTTACTTTTACAGCCCTAAAAACTGCAATATTGATTACTGTTTGCCATTGTAAATAAACAAAATAGCCGTCTTAACCCACCAATAGTAATTACAATATGATGCCACTAGAGGTCTCACTGTTAATCAGGATAGCGAATGCGCATAGCGAATACGCATTTTGTTGGTACACAAATGGACAAAAAAATATATTGATACGCTCTAGGATACGCCACTGGAAGTATGTTGTGGGGCACTTGAGCCACTTCCCAGGCCTCCAAGCCGGTATCTAAATTGAATGGCGCCAAATAAAAATCCAAATTTTCATTAAATACTCAAATACTGACAAAAATGGAAAGTACCCATGATGAACCGTACGTATCTAAATGAGCCTTAATTCTTTCAAACCTGCTTAATCAATTAACAGCTTTTTGATTAGCAAGTAAATACTGTTTCATGTATATTGTTAAGGTTATAATCAGCCTATCCAATACAAATTTCCTTTAGAATTGTTTTTAGTTTTGCAGATAACCAAACACAAGAAATAGAGAAGACTTTATTGTTAGCAAAATTAAAACCTGAAGACCTACTACCACTTACTCAAGTTGTATATTTTGCATCAGAAGAACTACATCATAATAATTATAAACTCTTACAAATCGATAATTGCTTGCTGGAGACCTTCAATGAACAGGGAGTAGTTTATGTAAAAGGTGAGGATAATGAGAATGCAGTTCTTTGCACTGATACCGCCACATATGATTTGTTGGAAACTGAAACTTCAAATGCATTGTTATTGGTTGAATCCTTACACTTTCGAGATAGTGTCACAGACTCTGCCCCAAAAGCTACATCCAAAGTTACAGTGAAAGGCGTATTTTATGATTATTTAGAAGTAACACCAACAAAACCTAATCTACAGAGATTGCACGAATTACTCGATAAAAGGCCTTATAAAGGTCCAGAATATGAGCGTGATGGAGACGAACACGATTTATACACTTACTCGGAATTATTAAACCGTATCCAAGCTTCAAGGAATGAACTGGATGCTGCTCTCGAAGCAATGCGTATTGTTAAAGTTAACGATAAAATTCGAATTTTAGATTTCGAGTATCATTCTCGTGTCCTGTCGTATATGTTAAAATTAATTGAGGAAAACTCGTGGAACTTTAACGAAGTAGATTACGATCAAACTGTTAGCACTTTGAGCGATCTTATCCCAGAAGAAATTATTTGTAGTCTCTTTGAATTGTACACAGAGAAATCGAAAGTAATCGATGGTCTGCAGTTGTATAAATACAAAGAAATTGATGTTTGCAAATTTGTAGCGCGAGTTTTGCTCCATAATGCTAGAAAGTTTAATCTACAAGAATTTTTGGAAGCATGGATGGAGTTGGTACCAAATGGAATGCGCCCCGAAACGGAGATGTTATACGGACTTGCTATAATCGATACAAAGTCTGTTCCTAATACGATACTTGCTTTTGAAGAAGAAACACTGCCCGACAACATTCTAGAAAGATTCGATGTTTTATTTAACGCAAAAGATAGGTGGACAGTTCCTGAAATCACACCATATATTCAGTAATGATGAGTTTTATGATGTATGTCTAGTAAATACTTTTGTTGCAGGCGCATGACCACAGAGAAGACTGATGTAAATGCGATTTTAGCTAAATATGCTCGAGCGTGTACGTTTTCTGGTGTAAAGTACTATACAGCGAAGCATTCTAAATAATTAGTGAGGTTCAGAATTGTTTACTTTGTATATATGCATTACTTTTATGTTAATATATGTTTTTGATTTTGTATGTGAATTCGTCAGATAGCGGTCATGAAAGCTTGGTGTAATGTTTTGAACAAGATATGATTTGAAAAATCGCACATGCTCAAATAGCACTTATTCTTGAACTCGCTGTATGTTTTTGTTCTCGAGTTAGACAAGGAACGGACGGACAAAACCATCATATAACAAGAATTCTTTTCTTTTGAAAAATTCCCTTAAAAATGTGAAACTACCAGATTAGTCATGTCTTGCTTCACAAAAACGTTCTTTAAAGGAAATTTTTCAATTTGACAAGAACTGTAATAGTTATTTTTCTCATAACTGTCAATTTGAATGTGTTGCTGTTGGGTCGTTGAGCAGATGTTAAGCAGGGTACCCCCAATTTTCTTATACAGTCATGTGCACTGAAGATGACCTTTGTTTCACTAATATTTCAACCAGGCAATAAAAAATTGTGTGGTAGTCTGAAGCCAAAATTGGTTCAGCGAAAAAATAAGGAAGGCTCCACCTTTTGACATCTCTAACCGAGCTCATTGGCTATATTTGTTTATTTTAATTAAATGTGATCCTACTTATCGTAGGTAAGTGATAATCGGAGCGGAAATCAAGTGCGTACTTTTGCTGCAAAAGTTTTGCCCATCTTACTATGTACCAGCCTATTCATGAACTGGGAATATACAGGATGAACTCCTTTGTGTGTACAGCTACAAAAAACTCTGACAGAGAAAAATATTTTCCAACAATTCTGCAATTATACCATACAGGTGGGCCAGAACCGCACCCCCTGGCCGCACCTATAAACGAAACTTAGATAGAATCCATGTTGATGTTATAAAATCTAAAACTGTCCCAATTCGTTGTATTCTAGAAAAACAGGCCTGGGCTTTCCCGTTTACAATTCATTTGAATTTTAAAATATGGGAGAGATTTTTAAAGTTTTGTTCAACCCGCTTTGAATTGTTGGAGGGATGGGGGCTAAACCCACCATATAGTGCATTCTTTGCACAGGAAAGACCATTCCCCGAAGCCATTGAATAAAAAATTAATGCCTAAGCATTATAATTCACTATGAGTTTAGTCATGGTGGGCATAAACTACTTATGTGCCTACAATGTTAGAATTCAATGATGTTAGTTAAAGTGAAGTCCCGTGTTAAAAAAAGATGCACAATAGTTATTTACATACGTCGGGAAAATGATACATTACTGGCGAGGAAATATTGAAAAGTGCGAGGTACTTTAAGTTCCGAGCAGGTGTAATATATGTTATTTTACTGGAGTTTTGTCTTAAATTTTACGGGAAATCCTATTTTAATATAAAATTTCAGTTTTCATATAGAACATTTGACAAATGTTAATCTGTCAATGTTATATGAGTCATAATAGACATTGGAAATGTCACAAACGCGACCGATAAAGTGACAAGCGGTAGAAAACGTAGTCTGCTCTGCCTGTCATGGAAACTAAAATTTCCTGACAGAACTAGGCACGAAAATGAAGGTTTCTGGACTATTTTGGGTAACGCAATGAATGCATTTATTAATCCAGGATTAATATTTGTTTTTATTCATTTATTTGGGCCGATCCCGGAGGTACTGCAAGACCGGGCCAACCCGCGACGGAGGTGGAGCAAGCCCCTAACCTCCGTCAATTTCCAAAAATCAGTTTAATATACTGGACCCGCATGCGGGTCGTATCAGATATTAAGCTGATAAGAACAGATACTACACTTTGATCTTAGCCATAGGCCGAGAAGCGATAACGTGTGTGGTTTAACGTTTCGACTTCATTCTGCCGTGTCAGCAGTTAAACTAACAGATTTACTTGCAGCGCCCTCTTTCCTTGTTTGTTGTCAACTGTTCCTATTTAAAATGGAATTATAATGAAAGATAATATATTATCTTTGTTATAATTTAGCTTTCAATATTGAATTATTTTCACTTCAGGAAAAACGTTATCCAAAAAGGTGTTAATATCGTTTATGATATCAAAAAATAAAGATCATACTACTACTACACATGATATGTAAAAAATGGATAAGAGATATGTAAAACTAACGCTAGATAGCGCAAAATAATGGGTGGAATTTGGCGTCTAGGGACTTGAGGTGGAATCATTGAATAAAAATAGTACTTTACTGTTTTTATTCAATGAATGATAGATCATACACATGTAATGTATGTATTATATTACGGTGAAAGTAATTTATTCATAAACTTGAGGTGCTTCGTTTAAAACTTTAAGAGAAGACACTAATTCCATTTACAAAACAAAAATAAAATTTAAAAAAATCATTCCGGAAGCTGTTCGAACAATTTTCCTTCTCTCAATTATTCACATTGACCGGTTGTTAAGATTATAATCGCCGGCGCAGCATTAATTACTTTGTCCTGAGTATATACAGCACAGTCAAGCTCAAGTGTAATGCACTCTATACCGTTGAATTTATATCTAAATTCTACTTTGAATACTCACCAAAATGTGTTTCGGGAAACACTGATCTGTGCATGGAAAATGCGCTAGTTACTATAGTTAGGTAGCTACTCGCTTGAGGGCAAAAATCTTTCTTCTTGGTGAAGTAACTTCATCGTCCATCGAAGTACCGATCATAAATTATTTATGGTACCGATTCCGTTTGTGACCCGTACTGTAGCGTGTTACTAAAATCGGACCTCCCTTCGCATATGTACAACTCCTTCTACTGTTATTCTCAATAGCCGAAATCGGGTAGTGTCTGAAATCTATACCCATTACGCGTTGTGAGCAGTGCAGTTTACCCACAATGCGATAAGAGTCTAGTTTCCGAAGAATGGGTAACAAAATTTAACCAAAACGCGTTGGGGATACCCACAAAATTCAAAAAACCAGTACCTTGTGCGGGTATCTTGGTTTGCTCACTTCGCGTTGCGTGTAATATAATAAGAATTGGGCCACAGAAAAATACAACTTTTGTTCCAGAAATAACATTAGGCACAGATATACGTTCTTTACGTATCGGTATATCTGTGGATTAGGTAAATAAAAATAACGTTTAAAGTAAGTAACTAATAGTATTTTACATTATTAGCCAGGTAAGTGAGTTTTTACTGGCGATAGGAGAAGTACAATATTTTATTTGTTACTCATTTGTAAACGTAAATAATTAGTTCTTAAATTGATCTTGAAGAAATGTCTAAAATATCATGTGATCCATGTAACAGAGACTTCGCATTAATTCTGGCCAATGAAATTACTAGATTACTAACTTGTAAAATTTTTACAGGTCTGCTGTCTATTGCAGATGTGTTCCACACTGACTCCCTGTACTGCGCAAACGCAAGCGCGGTAAAATTTGAATTTGCTTTAACGTGCCACCGTTTCTTTTGTTTATAATACCAGTTCCTGCTGACTTCCATATTACAAACCAAATGTCGCTGTATTTTCGGAAAGAATATGTTCTTCTTCTCGAATTAAAGCCTTCGGTCACTACTGTGAATTCCAGTTAAATACATTATAGCGCCAACTTGAAAGCAAACCTCTACTTTAGCTTTCAGTCATGATCCTTGTAGTCTGGTTTTTTGTGATTCGTTCAGCACCGGACTCTCTCTTTACCATACGTCAATGTTGGTCTGTAACGTTATTGCTGTAAGTAAATGTCATTAACTCTTTCTAATTAACTATTACAGTACTTACCGAAGCAGTTTCCTAATATCGCCTTTGGCATATTCTATGACCATTCACTCCAAATGTACATAACAACAAAATTCATCTTGATAACATGGCATTTTCATATACCTACTACATATAATAGGTAAGCAAAATTATCTTCAATTATAACGTTTGCAGGTTATGTGTAATTCAAATTTTAGCGCGCTTGCGTTTGCGCAGTACAGGGAGTCAGTGTGGAACACATCTGCAAGTGTCTGCTGTCAGTTTTACAAGTCTGCTGTCAGTTTTACGTCAGTAGCGTTTAAACATGACGTTACCCGTTTGCATTTTGTCTTGTTAATCAACGTTTACAACTGAGTAACAAATAAACATTATTTTTATGCAACGTGACATGGACAAACAAAGATACCTTAATTAGGTCATGCCTACAAGGCGACACAGGAACAGACGGATTTGGCTTCGGATTGTGGGTGGTGAATAAATATGCCCAGAATGCGTTTTGGTTAAATTGTTACCTTTCGTCTGAAAACTACTCTTATCGCATTCTGAGTAAACCGCACTTCGCAGTGCGCAACAACGCTCTATGATTATAAATTTCGGGCATTGTGTCCGATTTACAATACAATTATTTAGTACTCGGTGGATGGAGTGAAATCTTAGACCATATAGTACATGGACTGCTAATTGCAACTAAAATTTGGTCAAGGACATCGCCTGGGTATATAAGTTTCAGGGTAAACGAATCTATCCGAAGTTGTTCGATGAGACACGATTTGAACTGTCAACCTTTAAATTAACAAACGTCAAATAATTAATCGCATAGAAATGCCAAAAAATCAAACCTATTCTTATTTGTGGAAGTATAGAAGATAAAGAATAGCATTTAAAACATCTCGTACGACTTGATTGCTACAGATTGCTACAGAAGCTGCTGTTTTTGTGATACGAGTGGTGTTTACACGACTTTAGTTTACCCTGAGATTCACATACCCACGACTACAGCGCCCCCTATCCGTGACCACCTATTTTGTATTGAAAGCATAGAGCGAATAGCAGTCCATGTACTATATGGTCTAAGAGTGAAATTCGTAGACACGTCAGAATTCCCCTATTAGGCAATCCTTGGGTTAAGGTGACTTATATATAAGTAGTTATAATAACTTCGTTTATTTTAATAAAACCGGGACAGCGCGTACGCAGTCCCGACTACCAAAAATTACGCGCCCGAGTTATCCACATTAGGGATAATCGCAGGTTTCAGCCCGATCGTAGTGCAATGAAAGGGCCTCATCCTGGGGGAACCGCCTTATTGATCACGGTAACCCCTACGCCAGGTAAGTATGCTTTGTCAGCATTTTGCTCGATGTCATATTCAA